AGAAATATAAGATACAACTGAACAGCTAACGGGTCCCATTTTGCAAGGTGGGGTGTTTTTTCTTCTTCTCTTTCCTGATGCTCTTTCTTATGCCACTCCACTTATATCACAATGACTCCTGATCTGCACCACTCTGACTAAGGATGAAATCCAGCCCCATCTATCTAGAAGATCCGAGTTCTTCTTCTTCTTTTTTTTCACTCGATCTGTAGAAGGCACTTCAGTTAAATGCAGGATTGTATACTATACCTCCTCCATGTCTTCAAAGCTTGGAACTCCCCCCAGATAAAGTCTGTGCCAAGAAAAACGTGAAGAACTCCTCGTTCCATCAGTCCTTTGAAGGACAAAGTCTGCAGTTTGCTCCTGTCCACGGTTTAACTCTTCTTGGTGCTGCAGTCCCTGTGCTCATCTCAGTTTCAGCTCCTGAGGGTGTTTTTGGCATTGCCTAGCAGCAATTATGGGACATAAGGAATCACCTGCATCTGCCAGATGCTGCAAACTCACAGTGATTGTAAAGCACAGACAGCAAGAACAGAAATGTCACCAGCAAGTCCTGCAGTTGAGACTGGTTCTGGAAGATGGGTAGCAGGGGGTACCATGCTACCATGCCATGCTACATACCTTGCAGAGGTGCCTGAAATGGGTCAGTAGAACAGCAGAAATCCTTGGGCAAACCAAGCAGCCCTGTGCGGGCTCTTCGCACTGGTCCCTGTGGGCCTGAGCAGATACACGAAACGGGGAGCTCCTTCAGTTCTGCTCAGGGCCTTGTGGTTGCACAAATAAGATGCTTTTAGCCTCCAAGGTTGTCGGTCTGGCCCTTTCCACCAGTCCTGGAGTCCACACAGATGGCATCTATTTTCCAAGCTGACAAATGTGTCCATTTTCTCCTGGGTCTTGTGCATAAATTAGCCTGTATTTTCCTGCTTCCAGGCTTATTGCTTTGGCTGGAGAGTGCTGGAAGGAGGACAAGGAGGACTCATGTCCTTGGAAAGGGTTGGCAGAGGCTTAGTTTTATGAGAAATTGCTCTTGACAAGCATCCCAGGGAGCCGTGCACATTGCTTGCAAGTGAGGTGCTGAGGTGTGGGCCAGCGATGCAGAAATGACTGATATCAGAGCAGCCTGATGCACGAGAGGAGCCATCATCATCTTCACGCCGACCGCAGCGGGGTGAGGACGGAGAGGTGTCCTCCATCAGCAGCTCGCCCGGAGCAGGGAGGAGCCGAGGCCAGGAGGCTGCAGAGGGATTTGGGTGGGATCGCCAGCGATGCAGCCTGGACGTGACGGTCGTATCCTGCTCAGGGTGGTGGTCACTCGCACCTCGGCATCCCGAGAGGCTTCCCGCAACGGGTGACATCCCCCGTACCTGTGCAAGGCGCAGGTGAGGAGCAGTCACAGCTGAGCTATCAGGCTAACATAACCCAGTGTAGTTGCTCTGCATCCTGGTGCCTGGGATCCGGGCTTTTTCCTTAGTGACATGGATCAGAGGTCCCGCTGTGGTGACTGGACATGCAGTGGGGCTGAGCTGCCACAGGTTCACTTAAGGGAAGCAGTAAAGCTCAACATGGGGCTAGTGGCAGTTCTGGCTGCACTGGCCCGAGGAGAGGCAGCTTTCCCAGGCCACGCAGGGGCACTGGAGGAAGGTTTTGTCACGCGTGTGAAGAGGTGTCCTGCCTTAGTTACAGGGGATGGCCAGCAAGACCTGTGATCTACTCAGAGTGCCATGAGGAGGCATCACCCCAGGCCTCCTGCTCCTCTGGGTGGAGTGAAGGACTCAGCTTCTCCCCCTGGGCACATGGACACCTTGGCCAGCAGTGAGTTAGAGCCAAGGTGCAAGAGTGTGAACGTGCAGGAATCACAAACACTCATCAGCAGCTCCATGTTCTCCTGTGACTGCTCTGAGGTCCTTTAGGGCAACAAGAACAGCTCCAAGATGTTCTTTGCCTCCGCTTCACTCCCTACAGGCTCCAGCCGTGCCTGGATCATGGAGCCACAGCAAATGATGGATGGCCCAAATGATGGATGCTGGAGAGTGGGGGGTTTCAGCTTTCTGTGCCCAGACAGAGGCACCCAGGCCAAGCCAGGGGAGTTGGATGGATAAACAGAGCATGGGCCGAGCTGTTCCGCGCTGCTAGAGCGGAACCACCTCTGCAGAGCCTGCGGAGCTGCCCAAATGCCATTGCTGGGCAGAGCTGGATCTCTGCTCCCCGATGGAAAGTCCAGCAGAGGCGTCCTGGCCTTTGGCTGCGGGGGAGATGTGCCTGGGTGTCTCCTTCCCCGTCCTGTTCTCATAGCAACATGATTCATGCACAATCTTATCCTCGTCTGGTCTCAGTAGATCTCGAAGTGCTTCAGAGACATTAATTACCTCCCTGCAAGGGTATTATAGCCGGGTACGTTGAGTTACAGGACAGGAATGACTCAGTCAAGGTCGCAGACGCGTGCACAGCTCCGCAGCCCCTGGCTGACCTCGCTGCCGGCTCCCCAGCCCAGCTCCGCTCCCAGCCGTGCTCCCTGCTCCGCGCTCCAGCCCCGGGGAGGACCACGGATCGAGAACCACCTCAATGAGCTCCGGGTGGGCACAGACAACATAGTCAGTCACTCACCCCAACCCGTGTGGACGTTACATCCACAGGGGTAACCAGGGCGCTCTCCTGCCGGAACGTTGGATTTCTCCATGCAGGGTGGGATGGAGACTGACCATAAAGGTGGTGCTACCACCAAGAACATGTGCAGCAACCATGAAGGAGACCTTGAAGAACTAGTTACAAAATACGATTCACTAATGCCGAGAGTCAACAGTCCTAAATATACAATCGTATTACAAGTGCATGCTAAGTACCAGGCAAATGGCTTATCAAGAAATGCCAGATCAATTCAAAACTCTTGAGCACCAGTACCTCCGTGTGTAAGGCTGTTATTCTTTGTATACTGAGAGCTAGATAATAGTTTTCACTGGTAACTTGATAATAACAATAAGCTTGATTTTATGGTAAATTCTTTGGAATTTCATGAATGCAAGAAGTCTGCAGGTTAAATTATTAGGTATTAAAATAGCAGTAGAATATTCAGTTTATAGGCTTCTTTGAAAAAAAAAATCCAAAACCTCCTTTTGCAGTGCTGCAACCCCAGAGTTTAATTTACATTCAACTTAGAAAACTTGTTTATCACTTTTATTTTCCTTCACTTTAATAATTTGGTCATTTGCCTTCCTGGCAGGATGTGTGTGCACTTGTGTGCCTGTGCCTATTTTCCAATGTTTTTCTTTTCTTTTTTTTTTTTTTTGATTTGCAATCATTTTGCAGACTGCCTTCTAACGTCTTACAAACCATCAGTGACCCAGCAGCCGTAGGTTAGGAAACACTGTTCCAGAAGATAGTGTATGTAATGAAATAATGCAGAGCGGCCATCCACATCTCTCTATTATCTCCATTATTCCCCAGAGTTTGGTGATAAAGTTAGTGGATTGGCAAAACTCTACATGTAGCAGCAGCAGTTTGGGCCTTGTAGCAATCAGAGTCACCACTGGATGATTTGATTATACCCATTTCTTTAATACAAAAAAACACCCCTATTGCATAAGTGGCAGCTATGTTAAAAATGAATTTTGTCATAGCAGGTATCATACTGATCACCTTTCCAACAAAATTAAGCAGCGTGGTTAAAATATTCTGCAACACGGGGCTGTGCTGCCTCTGATGAGAAAGCTCCCTCAAACTGGAGCATTTCACTACAAAATACCCCTTGAACCTCCTAGCTTGGATACCTACATCCTAATAAAACCTAACTCATTTTTATGTAGAGATAAAGTAATGCCTGTGGCACTGCGTCAGCTTGGTCTGTTTACCTCTGTTACAGAGCTATAGACCCAAGGCATTAAAAGCAATGGGGCAGGAAAATGTGACTAGAATTGCAGGTCAGATCCACGTGGCTATCCATGTGGAATTCTGCCCTTAATGCTCTCTGAATCTCAAGCAGCTTCTGCTCTGCAAGGTGTTTTAAAGGCTTAGACCCCATGGAGCGACCGACTGGTGAGGGTAACACTAATGTCATTGTTATTAATAAGCTTTGTGTTCTTCAAGGCATTGAAGACTTTGCATGCCTTAATATCCCGGTAGTTCTTGCAGAGAAACAGCTGTAAACATCTGTGCCAAAACAAGAAGATCTTTATCCCTCACCCCTTGCCGGGGCGCTTGCTCCTTTCCTGAACACCTTCCAGGCAAGCAAGAGCTTTGAAAACCCACCAGGTTCTCCTGGTACTTTGAGCTATGTCTTGTCCATGTCGTGGTCTTGATACACTCAGTCTCCAGGCTCCACCTCTGCAACCTGCAAGCAGAAGAGGAAGGCCTTAAAGCTCAAAGCAGAGCAGCAGGTCACTTAGACTACGGTGGCACTCGAGCACCATGCTGAGGGCCACCGAGGCTGCAGCTGCTGCTTGGCCAAGCTCAACTGAAGGCAGCATCCCTGTAAGTGCAAGGGGATGGGGACGTGCCCTGCACGGGGGCAGCTTTGCCCCTAGGAACGGCTGGTCCTTCACCCCTTGGGGGAGGATCTGTTGGGATCCGTTGAAAAGGATTCACGAAACAGAACCAGAGTATTGGAAACCAGGGGAGAAAACGATTGACCTAAGGCCTCTCTTATTTGTATTTAAAATGTGATGGAGCAATTTCATTTGTGACCTCAACTTGCCTGACCCTTGTTCTGCTTTCTTCTTGTGTAGGTAGGGAACCTTGGCCTTCTTTTTACTCGGGGTCCGTTGAAAAGGAGTCACGAAACAGAACCAGAGTGTTGGAAACCAGGGGAGAAAACAATTGACCTAAGGCCACCCGTCCTCTCTTATTTGTATTTAAAATGTGATGGAGCAATTTCATTTGTGACCTCAACTTGCCTGACCCTTGTTCTGCTTTCTTCTTGTGTAGGTAGGGAACCTTGGCCTTCTTTTTATGCTCCTGTTTTTTATCTATGCTGCCCTGGGAGTGGAATTGTTTGGCAAGCTAGGTGAGTAATGTGCCTGACATGATTTATTTTATCCGGTTGATATTTATTTGGTATCTAAGCTGTTTCCTTTTTTTTTCCCTCTCATTCCTGGGCCTTCCTTAGCTTCACAGCTTGCACTCTAAAGATTAAAGCTTTCTCTTGATCTCAAGGTCACAGATGACACATGAGGATGTAATACAGAACCTGTCCAATGTGCACACACACACATTTATAGATTTGTCCAACACTACCCTTGGCTGTAGAGAAACTATTTACTGTTTAAATATAATTGTCCAGCATGGGTATGTTCACAAAGATGGAAGTTTGCTACTTAAGACAGCACATGGGTCTCTAAAGCTGGATGGTAATCAGATCTGTGTTGGCGAGATGCCACCATAAACATGTCCTCCTGGGAGCTTCCACCACACTCCATTAGTTTTCTGCGCTTGGCTGACATTGCTCTTCCCACTGCCTAAGTCTTGTCGGTCTGTTGTTCTTCTCAGTATCACCTTCCCCTTTCTGCATAAATCAGGAAGCCTCCACTGGCTTCCCAATTGTCCAAAGAATCTTTTATGTCTCCTGCTCGATGATACTGCAGAGCTGGTCATGAACATGGCCACTGTTCAGAAGAAAAGCAGGTGGAGTCAAAGAGGAGAGACTCTAGCTCTATATTGCCCAGTCTCCCCTGTTGCAGCCCTCTCAATGCTCACATCCCAATTAGGGCTCAAGAGCATCAGAAGGGCCTCTCCTCCACGGTGATTTTATTGCTGTCATTAATCCCCTTTATGAGTCCAGCCCTCTGCTCATACTACAAATGCCTGAAAGCAAAATACTCCTTCCAACCCGAGAAAAATTACTTTTTCAGTCTCCACAAATTCTGGGGAAAAAAAAATGATTCTGCATCCACTCCAAATGAAATCCTGTATATTTTTTATATTGCATATATAAATATATAGCTGTGTATTTGTTCATCCACTGAGATGAAGAACGTCCTACTCACAGAGGCACCTTCTGCTGCTCTGAATCATTTTTGTGTTTCCATACGCACCCCTTGCTAATGCCAGCGACAGAGTAAGAGCAGGAGACCAGGAGAGCCTGATCTAATGGGGGTGAGCACCCAAACCTGGGCAGCCAGCACTGCCCTGCCCGTCCCTATTTGATGAGCAAATATTTTCTGTTCTTCCAAATCACTGCTGGTCTAGGTCAGCCATAAGAAGTGCTAACACTCACTGCCCGCAGGGCTGGTCATTTGTGGAGGTTTTGGTGTTTGTTTTTTCCTTTTTGTTTTTGTTTGCTTTGCTTTTCTCTCCTATTTGCCTCTGAAATAAATGTCTAATAGTGAGACGCCCTTGCAAGAGGCATTGCTGCCCATCCTAATAAAAACTTAATGAGCCCATGTTTTATGGAAAGAGGGACATTTTATGTGGTCAATTTACATTCATTAGTATATTAACTCTCAGGGGAAAAAAAATGTCAAATCGCTCCACTTTATTCCAGTGAAATATGCCTTACAGTAGATATGCCTGTAAAAAATAATCAAGACAAGGAACATAACCAAGAGGGTAATAGGCAGAGCTTACTGGAGAGCAGGATTTGTTGAGACAGCGCAGCAACACTCAGCTTCTTTCCACCTCCCTTTATATCTCTTTATGTTGACTCTGCCTCTTGGGGCAAAGTCAAGAGAATCACAGAAATAGTGGAAAGGACCTTTAGAGACCCCCTGTTCAACCTCCCACTAGAGGCATCATTACTGGATGAGGGCAGCTGTGGCTTTGTCCAGCCAAATCCTGAAAACCCCCAAGGATGGGGCAGCTCCCTGATGACTATCCCATGGCTGCAGCCTCCTGCAGGTGGGATCCTGGGGGGAGTTTGGCTCCTTGGTGTCTCGGTGGTGGCTTCAGCGGTTGCAGGCTGTGGTGAGATTATCTGTTGGTAGCCAGAGTCTTCCCCAGTGCTGTGGATCACCATGATGTATCTCAGGGTCTTGCAGCTGGGTGTAGGAAGGCAGCTCTGGGTGTAACAGGCTGCACCATCATGGCTATGAAGAAAACACAGATATTAGGTGTCCCAACCACATGCTGCAGGTGCTGGTGAACCAAAAAGGCTGAAGGTAAATGAGAGCTGGCAAACCCAGCTTTGCTGACCTGCTTCCACTTCTTTCTTCTGCAGACTGCAGTGAGGAAAATCCCTGCGAAGGTCTGAGCCGACATGCGACGTTCACCAACTTCGGCATGGCCTTTCTCACCCTCTTCAGGGTGTCAACAGGGGACAACTGGAATGGTATCATGAAGGTGTGTGCAATCTGCATGGGTACTTTCCTCTAACAGATTCTTCTGCCAATCCTTTCCTCTGTGTTTCCTCTAGAAACGCAGATGCAGAATTTAAACAAATTTAGGCACCCCTTGTATCAAAACAGGGCTTTAAAAACAAAGTAAGTTTTAAAAATATAAAAACAAACTCTTGCATTTAAAATTTGCAGTCTGATAGGAGGAAGTGTGTGCTCTGGTGCTTTGGGAATAGAACACAATCCTCCTGCTTGGGTCCAGATCTAAAGAACTGCTGTGGATGGTGTAATCATCCCACAATTTCTTCTGCTTTGGTTGTACCCCCAAGCCATCATGTCTGGGCTGTGTTGTTAGGCTTTTCAATCCTAAACGTGTTGTCTGCGAGGTCTCAGGATTCAGAGCACTCTGCAATCCCCCACCTCTCCCGCTGTGTTTCAGGACACTCTTCGGGAATGCACTCGGGAAGACAAGCACTGCCTCAGCTACCTGCCTGTCATCTCTCCTGTCTACTTCGTCACCTTCGTCCTCATCGCGCAGTTTGTGCTGGTCAACGTGGTGGTGGCCGTGCTGATGAAGCACTTGGAGGAGAGCAACAAGGAGGCCAAGGAGGATGCTGAAATGGATGCTGAGATCGAGCTGGAGATGTCCAGAGGATCGACCACCGCAGCTCCCAGCGGGAGCAGGGGAGGTGCCGTGGCCCTGGAGGGCAGGACGCCCTACAGAAGCCAGGAAACCCTGAAGTCTGAGCCGGCGACGCAGTCGAAACACCAAGCCCTGGTAACAGCTCCCTCAAGGCATCTACTCCTCCCTTGCTTGGGGTGGGGGCGGTTCCTGCTGGTCACTGCATTTCAGGAGGGTCTGCAAGGCACATGGCAAGTGCCCTCCATGGCTAACGTTGTCCTGCTTGTCCTTGGAGGGGGCTTTTGAAAGTTCAACTCTTACCATTTCCAATAGAAGTCATTCAAAGTTTGCGGGTTTTAAGTTCACAAGCATATCAGTCACACGTTCCCGTCCTTTCCCTTGGCCACCACATCTTTCCTTGTCATCTGGCATGGCCCACTGCGTGTGGGAGGCATCTCAGAAAGCCCTGGGCACCCCAGCTTTGACAAACCAGTCCTGCATGACAAGGGAAGGCATAAATTCCTTTCACACCAACACAATAACCCAACACAGCATCTTTGCAGTCCCACATTGGGATTTCCAGAGAAGCATTAGGTATTTCTGAAGCCCAGGTCATGCTGCACGTGTTGAAAATCCCAACATAGAGCTCAGAAGGGAAGTCCAGCACCAATGTAAGCACACAGCTCCCCTGGGCTCCTACTCTGCGTGGGGCACGGCCAGCTTGGACCTGGGGAATGGTCAGACTTCCCCAGCAAGAAGCTGTAGGTCCCTGGGTTGCTTTTCAGCCGCTGCTCTCCCATCTCTGTTAGTCCTCCAGAAAAATAGGGCAGCAGAAGCCAGGCAGAAGGGAGGGCGTGAGGTGATTGTCTCATCTCATGTCAGCAGCATATGATTAAGACTGAATAGAGAATTGCTTTGTGACTGTGATCACAAATAAATCTACCACAAAATCAATGGGGGATTTGAGATTAAATTACATTAAATTAGATTTTTGTAAAATCCATCAGACTCTATTAAGTTAAGTAAAAAGGAATTTAGTTACATGGCAGTGGGGAATTCGCTATTTGAATGTACTTCCTAATAGAAATTTCTGCAAGAAAGTGTGTCACAAACAGCCAGCTTGATTTTCTGTTTGGGGGGAGAGAGGACACATCCTCCTGCACAGGCTCAGTCTCCGTGAGCTTTCCTGATCCACCAGGATCTCCTGAGCACATGAGAATTCCTGAGCTATTCCCGGGGCTGGTCACTTCGTGTGCAGAGGACAAGCAGGGATGAACCCAATGCCTTGAGCGTAAGACCCAGCCTTGCTCTGCTGCTGATGCTTTTTATCTCCCTAATTTTGTACCCGAAGGAGGCACTGAGCTGTGAGAATGTGTGTTTAGCCATCCCAGACTCAGACACGCTGGAGAGGGCAGAGACTCCCGTGATGGAAATCTCGTCCTTCTGCTCTGTGTCTCACCACGTCCTGGCACCTTCCCACCAAAGCCCAGGCCACGAGGCTGAGGTGAATGCTGCTGCTGTGGCTTCCACACTGTGGCCTTGTGCTTCGGTGGCGTGTGACTGTCCTAGACCTGTCGTTTCTCTACCAGAACAGTCATTTCCATCCCCTGTCCTTCGTACCGCCTTGCGTGTCCAGGAGCTGAGCAAAAAAGCATGTTCTGAACAATTCTGCCAGTGGCCTTACGTGGCACACAAATTAAACACTCTTTTTAGCCAAAAAAACCCTTGCCTTTAATGCATAGTGTGATATTTAAGCTGTTTGCTTTCAAATGGTGTAGCTAGAGCTGGAGGTCCACCCAGAGTCTTCTCTTGGTTTGCAGTAGAAACACAGGCCAGTTTGAGGTTTCCTAGCATGACCATAAGAACTTGTTTATAGTACAGGAGGCAGAAAGATGTAAGTAAATCAAGACGGCACAGGCTCCGAGCAGCTCTGAGATGACAGTCAGGTCCTGGTTTACCCACCACACAACCTTAGGAGAGGCTTTTGCTAGTGGCTGAGCTCTGGATTAGCAGCTGCTCCGGGCAGATCAGCCCATCGGAGGGGTTGGAAGCCCCCAGCTCAGTCCCTCCTGTTTCCACCACGGCCCGGTGCCCGTTCACATCACCTAAGGGACTGCCCTCCTGGGCGAGTCAGCTCCACATGTCCTCAGATGGGCACAAGAACCTGCTTTGAGCCTCAGCCATGCGCCAAGGAGGGCTGGTGAGTCACACGGAGCTGCCATCTCCCCTGCATGCTGCCAAAGAAGTGACCTTTGCAGCAGGCAATCTCCTGCACTGACGTCCTTTCCTTCCAGTCTTTTTCCTTCAAAACCAGGGTCGGTCTTGGGCCAGCACCAGGGGAGCAGACCTTGATGTGACCCTCAGAGCAGGACGTTCTCTGCAGTCAGCCCAGGGCAGCTGGAGGGACCTGTTGAATGGGGCAGCAGCTGCCCCACAGGGCCCTTAGGGTTCTGCCATCACATTGCCATGTGAAGAGGCACCGTGGCATCACACTGGTGCTGGCCACTGCTCTTCATCTTTGGATACCCTTTGGAAGAGGCTGGTGGACATTTCTTTTCCATCTCTTCCTTCACTTTTCATGGCTCCTGGAGACCTCTTCCCCAGGCTGAAGGAGGTGGCCACCATCAGTTGGCATTGCCAGTGAATGAGCCAGGAAGAAGGAGCTAGAGGCAACTTAGAGCTTCGTCTAGAAGATGCTCATGCTGCAAGGGAGAACAATTTACTGTGATCAAAGAGAACGTGAGTGGCCACCCAGCGTTAATCTGCTTTAGAGCTGGGCCTTTTCCCTCTTTATTTCTGATTTCTATCATGATCCAAGGCACATGTAATGGCAAGTATCTGGCAAGCTCTCCCAGCAAATTCCGTGCTCCAGTTCAGCTCTTGATGACCAAGCAAATATCCCTGTGCAGGAAAGGGAGCAAGCCTCATGAGGGAATAATCCAAAAAGAAGCTATATGACTACTCCATCCTAGCTCCACGAGGTGTCCTTTAGTGTCTCCACCTGGATATCAAGGGACTTTGTGTTAGCCTCAAAGGGAGAACATGGTGAAAGACGTCCTGCAAAGGCAAGGAATAACTGGGACTTCATGAATGCAGCTGCAAGAGGTCCCTGGGTTTCTTCTGGCAGAGTAGGGAGCTTGTTGTCTCTGCGAGGACCAACAGAAGTGACCCCTGAAGCCACCAGAGCTGGCCTACACAGAAGTATGAGCCATTGGCACGTGTAGGCTGAGACCTCTCATCTCCTGCCCTTGTCACCTTCTCCCTTGCCCGTCCCAGAGGCAATGGGAGGCAGTGCTGGAGACGCAGCCTCTGGCAAGGATGGACAAGAAGGGCCAGGAGGAGCCTAAGGGAACTAGCCCCACAGCTCATTTGCAGGCTGTTGGCTCCCAGCCTCTGAGGAGTAACAGCGTTCCCCATTCCAGAATATCCTGCGAATCTCCTTTGCTTACAGAGTAACCTCGGACTCTTCAATCACCTAGGAAGGGTTGTGTCCTGTTGAGGTATTTGCAGGATCATTTTTCTTGCATTCACTCAGCACCAGAGTAAAATCAAAGCCCCAAGAGATAATTGATTCCCAGTCACAGGAACTTGGCTCACGGATTTAAGACACGTGACTGAGACCTCTGAGCTCCCTCAACAAGGCCTTCTGCAGTCAATTTATTGCCTTTCTGCTCATCCCACTGTGAGTAGATTCCCACCTCGCACATCTGGAGACATCCAGGTGCCTGGGATGCTCCTGCCTCACATCTGCTGCTGATGTGGGTTGGCACTGGCACACAGCGTTCCCCAAAGGCCAGTCCAGGTTGGACATTGGTGGTGTTTGAGGAGCTGCCTTGATTTCCCTAGGCACGGGATGAGGCTCCTCAATGCAACAAGCTTTTCCTACTAAGCAGGAGTTCTCCAGTGTCCCCAAATCTTCCAGGATATGGAGTGCAGCCTGCCAGGTGTGAGTCAACAAGCTCCTTGCACATGCTTCATATTTCCGTGGTTCAAAGTCATTCTACTAGCACCTTTAAAACCTGCAGGAATTTGCCCAAGTGCCTAGGTCTCAGTAACTGGAATCTTTAAAAATCACAGTTGCTTATGTCAAGAGGAGGTTTTCATTCATTTGTGCCAGCCAGCAAAGAGCCACTTTAAAAGCCTATAAACAAGAATCAAGCTTTGATAGAAAAATACTGTGATTCCTCCGTTAGAGAAAGGGGAGCAAGGCTTCACGGCAGCAGAGTTTTAAGGCCTTTTTTCCCTTTTCGTGGCAGCAGGGTTTTGACAATTGCCTGTGTGTTTGACTCAGGTGCGATGCTGATGGCTTATTAGTGGTGGTGGCCCAAGGCCAGCTGGCACCTCGTGGAGATGAAAGGCCTGGGTTGCACCCGCAGGGGTGCCGGGCAAGTCCACAGTTAGCCCTTGATGCCAACGAGCTGTAAATAACTGCTGCTGATCCCCCTGTCTTCACAGCCAAGTTCAACAGGGTTAAAGCTTCAAGTAACTGGTTTCGGGATGTCTTTCTTCAGGGAGCTGAGGAGAGAAATTTGTGAGTCAGAAAGGCACTGAAAAAACAGATTTAACCAGATCCTTGGTGACCTCCAAACTATCCAGTGAGAGATGTCAGGTCCAGATTTTGCTAGCACAGAGGGAAAACAGCCTGGTGGAGCAAAGCAAAATACATATGATTTAAGACGTGCAGCTGGGAAAATGTTTTCAATCAGTCACTGGGAGGCTGACGCTAAAGGAAAACCAGGGCGATTAGTTGTTCTTTAGATAACTTGGTAAATTGTGAGGGGAGCGTGTCTAGGACTAAAACCTTGGGGCAGGGCGCCAGGCCGCAGATTCTGTTCCAAGGGCTCCCACTCCTCCATGCGCTTGGCCAAGCTGCGGTGCCTCCTCTCTCGGCTGCTCCAGCAGTAAAGCATCATTCGAATCCCTTCGGATAAATGTGTCCCCAGGATAAATGTGCTGCGAGACCTGTGCTATTTATTGAGGTGACCTCGCAGAAGGCCTTGGAGAACGAATGAGAGGACCAGCACTTCAGAGAGGTCCATAATGAGCTGTGCTCCTTCTGGCCACTTCCAGCTGGGCCCCTGTTGCACACAGAGACATTCCAATTCCTTCTCTGTTCTGGTGGGAACTCCCCAGCCACACGTGTGCTGCTGTGCTGGAGCATCTCCTTCCCTCTGCTTCCCCACCATGTGCTGCCTTCCCCTGGGCTTGGTGGTGCCCCAAATGCTCTGTGTTCAAGGAAAGGGGCCCTGGTGTTTGTAGAGGGGTTAATGTGGGTGTGTGTTTACCTGTCTGCCCATGTGTATGTTTGTACTGGGGGGATAATACATGAATTTTTCAGAAACACTTGGACCATCAGTGACTGAGACGGGCCATTTGGCCAACTTTTCCAGTGTGGCTCTGAGGACGAGGGTTCGCTGCCGCTCAAGAAAATCAGAACATAACTATGAAAACTGCTGGCTTTCTTGTGGGTGCAGAGGATGGGTCCCTTTTCCAGGACCTTTTTTTCTCTCTGCGTTGTCCAAGAGTCAGCGCTGTGGTTGATGCCTTGTTTTACTCAGACCACAACTTGAGCTCTTTACTGAGCTGCTGCAAAGGAGACCTATTTCCCCTTGCAGTCACCAGGGCTACAGACTCCGTGAGATGCCAAGAGGAACACAAGGTCTAAAGCAAAAAGCAGACGAGAAGGAAATTGCCATAAATTTGTCACCAAGATGCTGAATGACCCGTATTTCCCTCTCTCCTCGCTTTGCAGGACGCCCAGAACCTGCTGACGGTCCGCAAGATCTCCGTGTCCCGGATGCATTCCTTGCCCAACGACAGCTACATGTTCCGCCCTGTGATGCCAGCGAAAGCCCCTTTCCCCCTCCATGAGGTGGAGATGGAAACGTATCCCTGCAAAACCCAAAGAGGTACCGTTCCCTGCGGAATGTGGTGTTTTTATCACATAACTGCATTTCCTCGGGAAAAGGAAAAAAAAAAAAGCTGGTGGTTTGGTTGCTTGGTTGGGGAGAGTTGGGGCTCCTGAGCAATGAGAGAGGCATCGAGAACAAGCTCTTAGCTGAACAGAAGGATATTCCTGCACGTTTCTTCTGAAGGGATCGACCATGACATTATGCCTGCAGATCAATAAAACCATCCTGAGTAAATTCTGGGGTCGGTGTTACTTCCTGACAGCTCCTTCACAGCAATTGCTTCAGCAGCCCTGTCTCAGAGCAGCATCATTTCAGTGCAGTGCGTTGAGCTCATGGATGGAGGAGTTTCTTTGGGATTAGAAGCTGCTCTCCAGGGCCCTGTAATGAGTCTTGTGGAGGGACCTGCAGTCAGGGCATCACACGGTGCCCAGAGGCATTGAGCATACACAGCCGCATCCAAATACATTTCCTCAAAAATGCCTTTCCCTTGCTTTGTTATGTGAGTTGATTTGAAGGAGAAATCGATAAGAAAGAAGACATGTGCCTCCCTAAAAGCACATGTACTTCTCGAGTGGCTCCCAAGAACTCACCAGCCTGGTTTCCTTTGATTCAATGTTGTGTGAAATGCAAGACAAGCTTGGAGAGATGAGTAGTGGGTTTGCAAAGCCTGGTGGGGCTGGCAGGATCTGCCCTGGCTTCCTCGGGTGAAGAAACTCTATATTTGTTAAAACTCTCTGGATACCAGTTAGTGTTCTCTGCTCAGTATTTATTATTATTTCACCTGCAAATTCTTCGCTAAGCAAAGAAAACAGAGGTTGAGTTTCATGGCTGTACTACCGGGGGTGATTTTCATCTCCGTAGTGGGTGTAAATCAGGATTTATACCAGTATAAAACTGCTGTGATGCTGGCAGGTGTGGGTAGAACTGACCAAGGATTTTCTCATATTTACCAAATTTTTCACCAAGGAAACTTGAGAAATGACTATGATGGGGAAAGTACCTTTTTTGTGGCCTGGTAGGTGCATCCGATCAGCGCTGTGCAGCTCCTGAGCAGAGCAAATGCTGGTTTAAGTGACCGTCCCACAGGTTACAGTGAAAGTAAAACTGAACGTGTACAGAGACTAGAATTAGCAATTCTACTTCCATGGACTTTTCAGTGTCACTTGAGGATATCTGGTCTTCTCCCAGTGTTATGGTGTCTACACAATGAAAATACTGTGAGGTAGACCCATTCTTTTGGTCTTAGACACAATTCTTTGATTTATTAGAAAAACAAGAGGAAAATATACAAATCCTGAGGTATTTGGCTTCCTTCAATGTTCCTGACTGTGCAGTTTAGAGGGCTTCTTGGTTTCATATGAGAGAGCTAGAGGGAAAGCTTCCAACAGAGGGAAATTCCAACTGAGGATGGGGAGGAGAGTGTAGGGCTTTAACTTCATGACAACGTTTGTGACAAATTTTATGCCTTTTTTTTTCTGAATCATAAAAACACATTTCATAAAGCCCAGATTGGTATATGGATGGTACGGACTCCGACTGGGACCTTGGCTATTGGAGAGCCCAGAGATGAAATAGTAAGAAGTGGAGCAGGTGGGAGGTGGGAACCTCGCTGTTCCTGTGGTGTTCTGGAGAAAAACTCCTAAAGGAAAATGATTAAACACTAAATTTTCTCTCTTCCCTACAACAAGTCTCTTTCTGAAATGCAACTGCGAACGGCATGGATGGCTTTTGTCACAGGTTCAAGTTCCCTGACCTCTGGGCAAGATCTCTTGAAGTGATGGATGGCCGTGTTTTTAACGTAGAATGTAGAAACAGACGTTGGGTTTCAAGCTAATGAGCACAATAAATCCTACAGCCAAAAAGAGAAAAAAAAAACACACGAGCTGCTTCAAACAAAGCAGAGCTGCAGCAAAGCAGCACCGCGAAGGGGCCTGGGTGGAAGGATTGACTCCGGGAAGAGGGTGATTCCTGCGTGATCCGTGAGCTCGGGGCACATGGGAGCACTGGACGCTGCCGCTCACATCACGCTCACATCACGCTCAGCCAAGGCCTGGCTCTAGACACAGCAGTGCAAGTGTCCTGGCTGAACGGGGACCCTGTCCTCTGCTTCCAAGCCGTGAGTGTCCCCAGGAGGGCCATGGCAGGGTGCCCGCTGCCTTCACGACGCGCCGGCTTGGAGCTCGACCTCGGGCTCAGGAGGCTCCGAGGAAGCCGGGTGGTTTCTCACTGCTTCCGCTGCCTTTGCATTTTGCAAATTTTGCATTTGCATCACTGCAAAGAGAACCCAGGCATCCCGACTACGAGGCTGCAAGGGACCAGGCTTCTCCTGGCTTCTTCAAATGGGCCACAAATCCAACCAGAGGCAATGCTGCAAGAGAAGGTTCAACTGCAAACCCAACTCGTGCCCTGCATTTGCTGCCGTGTGCTCCATGTCCACCCAGAACATCACAGCACCTGCAAAAGAGCAGATTCCATCATCTGAAATGGAATGACGGACACTGATGGAATGGTAGAGTGACGGACACTGATGGAATGGTGGAATGGCGGACACTGATGGAATGGTGGACAGTGATGGAATGGTGGAATGACGGACGCTGATGGAATGATGGCACTCCTATGTCCGTGGGGTCTTCAAGGGGCATTTTGCTGGAGGGCAGAGCCATGTGCAATGCAGCCAAATTGCAGAGGAGAATTTATCTGCGACCTTCTCCCCGTTCATGAGATCTGGCCTAGCACTTAAAGCAGGAGAAAGGGAGGTTTGAACCTGGGTTCTGCCCAAGGCTTGTGGTGAGGCGTGTGAGGTTTCAGTGGGCTTGGATATGCTTTATCCTTCCCCTCTTGTGTTTGTGCTGGGTCTGCAGGCGCCGGTTCCACCCCAAACCGTCCCGGTGCCCGTGACGGTGCCGGCGGTGACTGCTCTCTCCCTTCCCTAGGGTCCATCACCTCCATCCGCTCCCAGCCCGCGGGGACCTGCTCCTCCCTGCGAGTCCCGGGCGAGACCTTCCCGCTGGCTGCTCGTTCTCCCGCGCGCGACAGCCGGCCCCGCTGGAAGATCCTTCCCCCGCATGTTGTGCCTCGCTCCCCCGCTCTCAAGCAGCTGCTCTGCAGACAGGTAGGAGGCCAAGGCCCCGCAGAGAGGCCCAGAGAGGCTGTGGAGTCTCCTTCTCTGGAGATCTTCAACCCCGCTTGGACGCAGTCCTGTGCCACGTGCTCTAGGTGACCGTGCGTGTGCAGGGGGGGTTGGACTAGATGATCTCTAGAGGTCCCTTCCAACCTTCAGCATTCTGTGATTCTATGATTCTGTGATCCAGAGGCGACCCTCTCTGCAGGCACCCGGCTCCCTCCCTCCTCGTCCAGTCCCCTCCTACCACCAGGATCTGATTTCCCTTCCTTCAGAACAAAACGTTCCTGATTCTGGTGCCATAAAGTTTAATACACTTAAGTGACAGCAAGTCACACATGTTGGAAAGGTCCTTTCTACCCGTTTCCACCTTTCAGGGGGTCCAGTTTTATTAAAGAGCTGCTGAAGTGTGGGGAGAAGATGGCCCATTGAGCTCTGCCGTGCTCCAAGCAGCCCAGTGCTGGCCTTGCACCACGTTGCTAGAGACTGGTTGCATCCACACGTGATTTGGTGCAATTTAGAGCAAGACCCACCATTGTAGAGGGACAGGGAGGACGTGGCTGGAGTGGCGGGTTGTGTTCAGTGGACTGGGTGCGTGTCAGGCC